AAAATAAAGTGCAAAATAGAGGCAATGAAATGCAAATAGTGCTTAGTACTTTTGTTTATTAAAACAAAACTGAATTGGCTACAAAAATTAACGACTAACAGATGTTCAAAAGTTTTAAAAAATTTCCTGTGCTTCTTTTGTTTCCTTCTTTCCGCCTTTCTTGTTTAATGCCGCCTTCAAAGCGAAAATCTTTCACGTGCTGAATGCGTGCTATGTATACATCATTCACTCCACTTCAGCCACATAACCTTTAATTTAACCTCATTTGTTTTAAATTTTTTCCTTTTTCGGGAATATTTTTTTGCAAAATGACGCAAAAATTTAACTGCCGCATTATATCACTCGACCGATTGTCAGTCAATAAATGTCAATGAACAACAATTAGTGCCGCAATTAATTGCTGCAAAAATGCTTGTAGCTAACGGAATTATTGCGATTCAAAGATGGTTTATCAATAAATTTGTGCGAAAAGTGCTGATAAAGAACACAGATTAGGCGCCCAGTTCTACATGTTGGTCCACGCTTGTAAAAGAAACACAAAACCATATGTGTGATGAAATATTTGCGCGCGTTAACAACACCATACGCCTTCGTGATTAAGGCATTGACATAAGCGTATGTAGTAGGGTTATCGATTTGAATATTTTGTTCAAAGTTTACAACCGTCTAGTTTTTTTTTTGAAATCCTACAATAAACGGAAATGACTGCGTTGTTTCATTGACAACAATTTAGAGCGTTGAGAAGTGATTATGTTAAAGGAAATTATGGCAACTCTGTCGCGAGCAAGGTAATTTGCGGTGGGGTAGGATTGGCGTTTTAAGCAGATTTTATTGTTTTAAAGCAGGAAGTTAGTGCCCTTATTGCTTGACATTTAGTGTTTTTCTTTCCCACTTCATTTTGCTTTAAACATTTTTATTGCAATTTGCTTTGTTTCACTGACGCTTTCTTTCAACGCAAATACTTGAACTACAATTGTTTATAAAGAAAAATGTTTACCTTCTGCTTTTGAACTGATTTTTGTTCAAGTTAAAGAAGCAAACAAATACATACACACTTATAAAAATCAAAACAAAAACAACGCCCCTAGCAATAAAATTACAGTTTTAATCGATTTTCCCGCGCGCTGTTGTATTTTTTTTTTAAATTTTTTTTTTTATATACGCAACTTATTTCTTTGGCGCGAGCGAGCGTGTATGACGTATTGTTTAATGTTGTTTTTAAGTATGGAAAATTTTTGCATTTACTGTGTTAATATTTATTGTAGTTAAACAAAAATATTGATATAAAAAACATTTGCAATGTATGCTTAAATACTTACGATGGCCAGAAATTTCAGCAATGACATGCGATGTGGCGGTAATATATCACGTTGACTTAAATAGTCGGCCATATAATTTTCAAAGTCGTTTTTCTGCAACAAAAAAGATAGAAGAAAATGTTACGATTAATTGAATGCAAAAAAAAAATATATATATACATATCTATAACTAGAATTTATCGATTAAAATTACTAAAATTTTTCTAAATTTCCTATATGTTCAAGCGCTTCACTGATGCTATTCCGTGCTGTCGCTTAACTAGCCAACCGTTAGGTTTTATACCACTAGTTAAACTGTGTGATCTTCCACACATTTAGTTAATGAGCT